CAAGATACTTGAACTCCTCCACTTGAGGCAGGAACTCTCCACCAACCTGAAGGGAACAAGCCACCCTTTTCCGACTGAGAACCATGGCCTAGGATTTGGAGGTGCTGATTCTCATCCCAGCCGCTTCACACTCGGCTGCAAACCGCCCCAGTGCACGCTGGAGGTCCTGGTTTGATGGGGCCAACAGGCTATGTTCCTATTTATTTATTTACTTATTTTTGGATCAGAGCAATTACCAGGCGACCAGTGCAGACAACACAAAGTTACTGCTCCCAGCCAGAAATATTTTGGCATATAGGTACCTGTAAAACTGTGAATTGTTGTTTCTACATTTAGATTTTTGTACACTTTAATAAAAAAAAATAAATACATGTAAATTAGCGAACTTACGATATGATAGGTGGTAGACAGGTTCATTACTCTTGGACAGAGTCAGGCTAGCTGGTTCCAGTCTGCATGTTAGGATAAACAAACTAACTCCTGGTGGTACCTTCATACTTGGCTAGACATAAGAGTAGTATCAGTCTTCTCAGCTCCTCCATCGGAAAGCAAACCAGTGTATTCACCAAACTGTCAAACTGTTTCTTTAATGCTGCAGCCAGCAAATGACAATCAGCCTTAATCCAAGAACAATGGCACTGGTATCAAAAAGCCACTAGTGGTAATGTGTATATGGAGAAAAGAAATATTTGCACCGGTCAGTACCTGAGGTGAGGAACAAGAGGGGTTGTGTACAGCACACTGAAAAAAAGGATTTGTTGGATTTACTTGATTGTAATGTGTACATCGGTCCCACACAATGATAATGTGTAAAACCAATATAATTTTCTTTAGGTGTTAACTTGTTTTAATTATGTTAATAGAGGAAATATGAATGAATTGCGTTGCATATACTAGCATAATTTGAGTAAATCCAAAGACCCGGTGAGTCCTTTTTTCAGTGCACCTGGTATACCCATGACACAAGACATCTGCTTTTCTATCTGAAGAAGAAAACATATGACAGCAAAATAACCTTTCAACCGTGATAAGAAAAAGTATCAGCACATTCAAAACCTCAAGTATAAAGAGGTGCCCACAAGATCACTTCCATCAAGAGTTTGACACTTTTGATTAATTAATCCACTAGAGTAAAGTGAATTTTACTGTCATCCATGAATATTGTAACTCAAGGATCTGTGGCTGCTTTGCATGTATAAACCATAATGCATGCATGTGTGAATTCAGTGATATGTGTGTGAGTAACTAGTCTCCCATACTTACAGACACGTGCTGAGCAGATGCCCCTTGCATGGCGGGGTCTGGCAGGGTGCCAGGCAAAGAGGCTGGCAGCGGTTGTCTGTGTCTGTGGAGGAGGGAGGTCATCGACTCGGGAACTGGTCTGTGGTCAGCCACAGAGGGAGAAAGAGGAATGTAAAAGTTTCACTAATCTGAGCTCAGAGAGAGGGGCAAGTTGAGACATTTATAGCTGGTCCTAAAGCAGATGGAGGTGAGACTGAGAGAGTTGGACATGGGTAAAAAAAAAAAAGTAAATCTGGGAACTGGGGATTCCTGAATGGATGACATAATTCAAACCAGTGAAAGAGGAGGGCTCTCCCACTTTAAACCTACAGTGTCACAATATAAACTGGTTTGTGTGATAAACTATGGCAGAAAGAAGAAGAAAAAACAGAAAGCCTGTTATATTTGTTTAGTTTTCTGAAGGCTTTTTTGTAAAGTTTTTTTTTTATCATTTTATGCCTTTTTTCCTCAAAATATTGTTTAAATGTGATGTTTAGTGGGAAAAATCCCTTTAAAGAAGTATGAAGTACCATAATGAGAAAATATTCAAGTAAAGTACAAGTACAGTAAGCACTTTCTACCATAGGACATATTCATATCAGTGATTTCTGGCCCAACACCACAACCACAGTCAATGGAGGTGACTGGAATTTTGTTTGTAGCATTCACAGTAATGAAAAATAACAATTTTGTCTTATGTTGTGAACAAAATCAACACTAATGTTTCTTTCCACAAATCATTTTCTGGTCACTCTGGATAAATGAACAGTTTTCATTCAAACCTCTCTCAGAATAAATAGCAGTTTCTTACAGAGGAAAAAAAATCCATACACAAATAGCTGACAGCATGTTCTGTGGATTATCCAGAAAAAAAACATGTATCCCTGGGGGCGCCCCCATCATTTTCTGAGCTCCTCTCCTCCCCTGTCCATTTTAGTTTTATATGCCACCATTATACATTACTAACTGTGTGTCTCCTCTCTCCCATATTGTTTGTTGTTGTGTTTGTTGTGTCTTGTTGCTTCTCTTTTCTTTTGTCTCTCCTCTATCCACTCACCCCAACTAGTCGGGGCAGAAGGCTGCCCACCAAGAGCCAGGGTCTGTCAGACATTTCTTCTATTAAAGGGAGTTTTTCCTCCAGGCTGTTGCCAAGTGCTTGCTCAAGAGGCATGTGTTTGATTTTTCTCTATGAAAATAATAAGAATAATAATAGTAAGGTCTAAACCTTACTATGTAAAGTGTCCTGAGATGACCTTTGTGATTTGGTGCTATACAAATAAAATTTAAAATGGAAATGGAAATTAAATATCTTTAAAAGCATAGGTGAACAAACTACTAAAAGTATGTGAGTATAATATACTGGTTTCTAATGTGGTGGACCAACACTGCTGGACAATCTGTACAAAAGCTGTACGAGTAGGTGTAAATAGAGGTTTGAAATGAAGCAATAACAACACCCATCTTGAGAGGGAGTAAAGAAGCTCAGGGATCGCTGCGGGGGATGCCGTGACCCGGGGTGCCATGTGCTGACCTAATCACTCTGGCTCTCAGCCAATCGGACAGCGTGTGCCTCTGTGGGATTGCTGAGGTCATCTGTAATGATGTCATCACTGAATGTGGGGTATGTGGCCCATTTAACACACACACCAAAGTACAGACCAACCAAAACAGCATTTCCTAACATAACCACAACAGTTCCACCAGGCCAACAGCCAGACGCTCAGAGATCGGGTCGCTATGGCAGCCAGTGTTAAACATGAGGGGAAACAGTTAGACACCCGCGCCATGGCTCACTTTAGTAACACTTAGCTGGTTTCACTGACTACGATGCTGTCTGGACTGAGCTCGCACTGGTTTACTACTCTGTAATCAACTGCCAGCTCTCTGTTCCCACTGTCTTGTCATGTCCTGTCTGGTCCTGGACAAATGTGTGGAGCTTATTATGTCACTGACTCACTTCTGGTACCTTGACTCATGTGTTACAGAGGCTTTGTTTATCTGCAGTATGTGTTGTAAGCAGAAATCAGTGCTAGGTCTGCTTAATAAGAGATTAGATAGCTTTTAGTTTTGTAAGACTGAGACTTACAAAAAAAAAAGTTCAAAATTCCTTCTTAGGCTTTAAAGTATAAGTTTATGATCAACTTTATTATCCCGAAAAAAAATTTGGCTTGGATGTGTATACACAATACCAACTGTTACAAAAGTCTAAATGCACATAATACATTACTCACACAGCACCTACACCACCTTATATACTACTGTTGAACTCGTACATTGTACAACAATTAAAAACTGCTAAAAAAGAATAAAAACCAATTTTAGGGCTTAGCTAACTTGCCACTTAATAGACATGGAGACATAAGAATTTCTAAAACAGTTAAGTCTGCACCAAGGTACTCTAAAGCTTCTGCCCGAAGAACAGTCTCATAAATGTCCTGGTGGCCAAGGAGTGCAAAGTGTTACTGTTATGTCCCTGGGAAACAAGTTGAAGCGACTGTGAAAATGGATTTCATTTTGTGTACGAACTGGATAAAGTTACCGGTAATGTGTCAATTAAACTGTGAGCGTTTGAGAAAAATAAATTTCTGAGAAATGTAATGAAGAAAAAACTAGTTTTGTTTTTGTGATGTCCTCTGTTGTAGTGTAGTTTAATGAAACTGATCATTTATGCATGCTTAGAATTCAAAACACTGTCACAGACATGTTGTCATTGGCAGTCTTATGCAAATTTTCAGATATCAATCAATTATGAAATTTGCTGATTTGTCAGGTGAGAATGGCAGCATGCATATATGAAGATAGTATGCATTGCTGCGTGACTGAAAAGTAAGATATTTATGTGTGTATCTGGATGCCTTAAGGTGTGCATGTGGGCACCCATAACCATACTCACCCTGAGTGTGTTAGAGTGCTGACTGATCCAGACTGGGAGGAGGGCAGAGCTTGTTGCACAGCCAGGCTGCAGCTAAGGCCCATCAAGGAGCCATGAGACTGAGGATGCTGTAGGGGTTGGGTCTGAGGATGGTGCAACAGTGGCTGGGGATGTGGGTGCTGAAGCTTGGGTGGGTGCTGGAGCTGAAGCTGGGGTTTGAGCTGGTGTTGGTTTATACATGACGCCCCATTATGGGAAAGCACCTGTGGGGACAAGTGGGAGCAACAAAGAGCTGGGACCACTTTGAACTTGCAGGGCAATTCTCAGCCACAGTGTGTGTTTTGTGATCTGAGGGGAACTTAATGTGTGTTCATGCATGCATACAGTTGTTTAGTTGAGTGTGTCTGCATGTGCTTGTTGGTTTGATGTCCAGCTGTTTAATTTACAGGCGAGAGTCTGATCGCCTGATGCGTCTTTCTCTGAGGCAGGTCATATTTTTCCAGTCAGATCTGACTGCTTTTGTCTCACAATCAAGTGCTGCTCAAAACATTCACTTGACAGACCTCACACTAAGGCACATGTCATCATTATGTCTTGATTCTTGCCTTCTGTTCCTTCTGGACTATCTTCAGCCAAAAAGGCTAGAAAAGAATTTTTCTAAGAATATTTTTATGTTTCTTTAAAATGTACCTGTTTGCTCTTTTCTTCTTCTTCTGCTTGAAGAAACTCTTCCTCTATCTCTTTGAAAAGACCAACCTCGTCACAATTCTGCAAAAACCGAGTTGGTGTCGGAGTCTGGTCTGGAAAGATTACATAGACATACACACAACAAAAGGTTTAAAAATGAGTAGAGAGTCATGTACTGTATCATGGCCTCTTCGACAAAATAGCCTCTCTTGATTTATTTGTTTTCTAAATCAACTATTGTTCAGGTTTTAATCCCAAGAGGAGAGAAGCAAGTCTACTCTCAGGTTTGCGCTATGTCTCTGATAACATCAGTCTGTCTCTCTGAGCCATCTAAACATGCAGGGGTCAAAGGTCACCTGGGCTCTTTGTTTTGACATGAGATTTCCTGCAGAAGGAGTGACAGGCTGCAGAACACAGAGGGAGACAGAGAGATGCAGAGGCAGAGTCTGCAGATGCTAGATTTCAAGCTATTTATGTCCATACAGACGGCTGTTTCTATGTTTATAGACACTCTTTAAGATTAGACTTAAAAGCTTTCCCTATTGATAAAGCATATACAGTATATGTATATATTTTTTTAAGTTATATTTTCAGGCCTTTATTTTATAATAAATTGCAGACAGGTAACACAGAGCACGCAGGAGACACCTGTGACAAATGATGGTGGTCGGACTCGATCTGTCGACATCGCCCATTCAGTGTGCTGCCGAGTACATGATATGCAGTGCCAAAACCACTCTGCCAAGGGGCGTCCCCGCCACCCAGAATATTTAATCATACCAGTGGGTTTCTTCAACAGGATGGCCTACATTTATACCCATATAGTGGTGACTATGGAATCACTTGACGTACATTCTAGGACAGGTTTGCTTTGGAATACCATCCCTTAGTTATAGATCTAGACTGCTGGGGTACTCCCATGATACTCTGAGCTACTCTCCTCTCCTCACTCTCCATTCATTTATATGCCACCGTTGCACGTCACTGTGTGTCTCCTCCCCACCGTAGTGTGTCTTCTCTCTCTCCCTGTACCTTTCTGCAAGTATCCCTGGCTCCAGAGCTCTATGGGGGATTTGTTAGGTTTATCGCTATAATAATGTAAGGTCTAGACTCTAGACCTTAAGTGCATTGAAATTATTTTTGCTGTGAATTGGTGCTATGCAAACAAAATAGACTGAACTGGATAATGTTGGTAGAATGCAGAGATGCTGGGCTCATGAAGCTACTCATCATGGCCTGATCCTGCATTTTACATTTACAATTTAAATGTGTTGAAGCAAAAATACTGTACATCTCAAATAACTGGCTACAAGACCATTTGGTTAATCTATAAATAACTGCAAATCTGTTTCATTTTATGTCTTAGTGGAGAGCAGCTTTTTTGACTGTGGTTTTTTCCATTTTTCTTTATGGCTTAGCAGCTCTTTTACACGTATGGAACCCTTTATTTTTCATAGGAATAAGAAAAATAAACCTTGAAAGAAGAGTAAGCAGGTGGACATTTTATACAATTAGTTTAAAAAAGTCAGAGGTTTAGCAGTTTTGCAGGTTTTAAAAAACTGGTATAGAGATTAGGTCAGTAGTTGTTTAACCAATTAGCTATTCAACAAAAAATTAACGGACATAAATCTTGATAACTGAATCACTGTTTTAGTCATTTTTCAAGAAAATATATTTGTTCAGAAAAATCAATCTGAAGACATCACTTTCGGCTTTGGGAAATTACAATTCTAGTTATATTTTTTCTGATATTTTAAAGACAGAAAATAACCTGCACATTAATCTGTAATGAAAATACTCTCCATCTATAATGGTAAATATCTGCTGAATTAATCAGCACAGTCATATATAAGACTAACCCCAGTGCACACAAATAACGATAACAAATTGGGGTTTGTACCAGGTGGTAAAGTCTCCCTATCCATCCATCCAATCTCCTAAGAAGATTATCTCTTATACCTGCATTCCCAGCCTTTTACCCATCACCCAAATAAAGTATAAAATGTTTAAAATGGTTTGTACTGACTGCTGTTTCACTCACCCTGTCACAGTATGTTTGTACATGTTGCAGCATGAGCAGCTCTGTTTCACAGCACAGACTATCTGAGGGTTAGGAAGCCTGTATCGAGCTTATCTGATTTCATACTGTATAACATAGCAGCATAATTTTTTCATCAAGCACAGATCCTGAGAAGAGGTCACCACACACACATGTGTAGAGAGACAATAGCTGAACTGAGTGACATACAGAAAGTCTAAGCAGTGAAAAAAAAGATGATTTGTTGTTAAGGGGAGATAAGGAAGACAAGATCAGAGAAACCACACACACAAACTCTATACATTAAAAGCCAGTTTGAAAGCAGGGAATGTGGGAGGTTCTGTGCTAGTCTCACCTGCAAAAGCTCTGTCCGTCTTAATGGAGGGGAACTTGAGGGTCATCTCATGCTTGTGTCTGTGAATGATCAGATGCTCCTCCAACTGGAAGCACTGCAGCACACCAACAGAGTGAGAAGGATATGAGGAGATGTATGCAGCTTAAATCGTAAAAAATCCTAAAATCAAAAGCCTGGAACATCTGCCCAATCTTTTTTTCACAGCATACAGACACCAAGGCAGTGCCACTGACCTCATTTAACTGCATATTGTTCAGTTATATTTTCCATAATTAATAAGTGTGATACTATCATCACTACACATTAAAGCATTTTATTTAGCTTACAGTATTTTTAAATATCAATAATCAAGCTTGATAACAATGATCATCATATATTTTTCTTTAGGATATGTAGCCTTTCCAGCACAGGTCTACCTCACACATACTGTATCCGACTGACCTGAGAGCAGCCTGGGGCGCTGCACACATAAGGCCTGTCCTGTTTTTCATTCATGTCATACACACCCCTACAAAACAAAAGAAACAAGAACAAGATATTAACCTGCAGCATCATAACACTGCACATGGGGAACTGCAGTTTTGTACAGTACTGTGTGATGGTTTCATTCAGCAGACAGCCTGTAGTTCTCAGTTCTATATTTCTGTTTTCACAAAAAGCAATGCCCACAATCACACAATAACACTATATAATACAGATATCCTCCTTTTATCATGTCTTACTGCGGAAGCTGTGTGTAAATGAGGTAGATGCCACAGAGGTTTCACCCTGAGAGAAAATATTATCTTGAGAAAAATGATCCCTTTGGTGCCAGCAGGAGTGCAACAGTAGGAAGTCATGTTTATTACAAAAAGCAGTATAATACATACAATGTGTTTGTATTTTTCCTAACTATTCATTACTAATAACATGTCAGCACCACAAGGGAATCAAAGTCTTACCATCAGGATCTTTACTTTTCATGGTTATTATGCAGCAAAATGCTAAGTGCCGTGCAACTGTTTCAGCCTACAATTAGGCTTTCACCAGGGCATTAGTTAATAATGCAAGTGTGATGAAAGGATGCATGCCTTACATGAAAAAAATCAAGGCATCATAGGATAAAAATACCAACACAGATGCAGAATAGAGCACAATAATAAATACGCTTGCAGCATGTTAACTTCGGCTTGACCCACTCAGCTCTTCTGTGGAGATATTAGGCCGGTGATAAGGGGTAATTATGACTTTCTTTTAAATGTTAGTGCTGCTGGGTCTTTATTTTGCACTTAGAGCATCTTCCTGACCTCAGGCACTCATCTGAGCTGTGTTACCAGGCAAGATTCACACACAGAGAAGACCCAGAGGTCAATAACTTGATTTTTCCTCGACTTTTCTTATTCCTACAGTACACACTCAACTAGATAGTGACCTGAGAAAAAAGAAGTGATAAAAAATTGTTCAAGGTGTTTTACTAAGTGGAAGTGACAGTGATGAGGAGTGTATTGGATACCTTAGGTACACTCACACATGCTCTGAAAGTTTGTGAACTGAGAAGACAGTAGCTAAGTGGGTCTTGGTATGGGAAAATGAGAGGGAGCGAGGGCTAAAAGAGCAAAAGTAAATGCTTTCATAAGAAATGGAAAGTGTGTGTTGGGGGTGACATTAGGGTGATGGAGAGTGGAATGGAAAGGACAAGTGGCAGTGAAAGAGAGAGAGCGAGTGAGAGAAAAAAGACGGAGGAGGAAACAATGAACATAAGAAAGAAAGAATGAAAGTAGGAGGTGGCAGAGGGAGGGCAGCCCTGTAGGCCTCCTCCTGACAGGTTGGAACCTGCCTCAGCCCCCATTTTCCAAACCTGGGCAAGTAGAGGTGACTTTATAGGTGTGTGTGTGTGTGTGCGTTTGTGCGCACGCATACGTGCGCGTGCATTCCCGTGTGTTACAGGGCGAAATGAGCAAGCGTCAACAACACCACAATTAAAAGTAAGTAGATATATAATTTATAAAAGATGACATAGGGGTTAAATGTTGCATGTAGCCACAATTTACAGTGTGTATCGTTTTTTGCGGTGATACTACGTTTTCTGATTGTCCACTGGTAAATAAAAACACATCAGTATCTTCAACAGCTCTACATCATTGCTCTACCTTGGTTCAGCAACACTCGTACAAGATGAGCAGACTCAGCACATTTCATCAAAACCTTCTGTCATTCTGGTTACATCAAGGCACAATGACGTCATCCTTAAAACATAAATCCAACAATAAACCAGACATGTTATCAGTTTAAGGCGGATTAATGTTTGCGTTTTTTTTTTTTAAATCTTTGTGGCAACTAAATTATAAGTCTTTCCCGCCTTCATCTTTGTTATGACTCTACGCGTATGAAGATGAATGACATAATGCACACACATAACTCTTATCAGCCCGTGATTATGAAACGTGCGATATCCAAATGCCCAGCGTCAGTTACTTACGCCTTCTCAAAGTTCCTATAACTGATGGATGAATGTCAACAACATCGAGTTGGTCTCACCGGCTTGGAGCTCATTCTGCTCGAATTAAACAGCTGCTCTGACCAGCAATTGCTCCGCCAGGCAGTCGGTCGATGCCTGTGTGTGTCTCAACAACACGACCCGGTGTGTTTTCTCTTCTACCATTTCGTAAACTAACCTGTTCAACTCATAAACAAGCCTTGCACAGCTGTATGGAGAGTGCTGTCACACCCCCCAAATAGGCACTCGCGCTCAACCTAACGTTGCCAGCTGATGAAACTTCACCGGGACAGACTGACCAAAAACTTCCCCTATTAACTTTCTGGTATCGTTTGAAAATAAAATATTAGGTATAAAACACTTTCAGCAGACCGTGGTTTAGTGTCACGAGAGCTATGGCTGTGAAGTGTCAGATTTTGTGAATGAAAGTAAATTATAGGCTTACCTACAAGCAGAGAGGGACAAGCGGCGCTCCAGAGAGGAACCACGTTGTACTGGGGCGAGATTACAATACGATCTATTTACAGAAGCATTACATCACCCTCCCAGTGACGTCACGTGGGATTCCTGAACTTCTAAATCATTGCGGTCCCGTACGAGGAGAGGGACTGGCGGGGGCGGGGCCACAACACCGGCCGGTAAGGGTAAGGGTACGGGACGGGGAGGCAGCATGCAGTGGTGGACCTGCACCCAGTCAGACGGAACACGGGACACACGGGGTGGGCGGATGAGACTCATCGTTTCCCCTCTCCCCCTTTTTGTCTGTACAGGATAGTCTAATTGGAGTTTATAAGTCAAAATGAGCAAAGTTTTAAAAACGTCTTAGAGATTATGATGTAATTGTATTAATTTCAAAATAAAACTTATTATAGAATGTAAACAAACTTTTAAATTAAATAATAATAATAATAATAATAATAATAATAATGGTCATTAAACCTATGATCATGAACTTTGGGTCATGACCAAAAGGGCAAGATCCCGGATACAGGCGGGCGAAATGAGCTTTCTTCGCAAGGTGGCCG